GACCACCCCCCCCCTAAGAACTCGCGAACGGTATGTCGTATGACCACCAAATTTTCAGAGAATGGTGTACTAGTGAAAATTTATCATATCTACAATTTTTATGTCGTTATGATGTAATATGTCGTCATTATGACGTCATTAATGTGATTTTATTGGCCAAAACCGTCTAAATAGGTTTTTCCCTGAAAACTAAATGGTATTCAACATAACTGTACCAAAAGTGTTTATGACAGAATATTATGGTGTACTAAGTGTTATGTTGCCCAAAGCAACACCGGTGACATGACGTCATGCATATTTAAGATATCCGCCATCTTGGATCATCAATCTTGAATTTTCAAAAATAGTTTTTTTTCATGATAAAGCCAAAAATACATCGTAAACATACTAAAGACCTTCATTTAAACTTTTTTGGAAAAAGAAATGAAAAGTATTGATGAACTTTTTATGAAAATAACCTGTATATACCTGTTCTAATGATATGGTCCGCCATCTTGGATTTTGGCCAATGACGTCATCAAATTAGCATAAATTATGCATATTTAATGATAAAATTTACATAAAATTATGTGGGATGTCATTAATATTAGAAACCATGAGTAACTTGACATAAAACCCATAAAATTCTATTGTTGAAACAAAAAGTACTAAATTTAGCAAAAAATGCCTGTCAGAAACCATGGCAACACAAAAAATTATTATCTTATTCCAATGATAGAGAATTGTTGCCAACAATATTCTAGGAAAAGTCACCAAGTTTGGCCGTTCTAAGGCTAGCCGTTCAGACGCTAGGTGACATCAAAGTTGCCCCCCCCCCCCGTCTAGGTAGGGTTAAGCGGTTGTATGAAAATTATCACTTCTATCAGTATACGATATCGAGTTTTATTCCCAGCAAATTCAAGTCATAAAGTCATGTTTGTATATATGTGTTTCAGTGTGTCAGGATTCTCTGACAATTATAAGTAGGAACTTTTCCGGCAAATGTTTAACTTTATTCATACTGTAACAAAAACTCACCATACCTTTTCGGTCAATCTCGTCAACCATCGTCAGCTGTTTTACGCACTTGCTGACTTTCCGGACGTCGGAAGCATGATGACTGGCGGGAAGACGGAATCTCCCACCGTCATGGATCAGATAGGGTTGCTGCACCCTGATGTAAATTGCTTCTTGCATACCCCTCGTAAAGTAATCCTTTTTTTTTCATGTCAGGTATGCATCTGTACCTTAATCGGTACCCGGCGAATCGGTATTTATTCAAAGAACTTTATTGCACGACAACCCCATATGGTACAATGTATGGAAAACTAGATAAAGAGAGTAACAAACAATAAAAAAATGTTGGATAAGACCTAGTGTCCAATAAAACCTAACATATCTTAATTATTCAAACATTAAGGGCTAGTACAAGTCTTTGATAAAGTGTTACAATCGAATGGGCTAATCACAGGTTTCGGTATTTTTTCTAATAACAAAGCAGTCCTTTATATATCTACCTATTTTTGCGTTGTGGGGACCATTACAAGTAAAGATATCATTATCGATTATCCATATTTGCATAATCGTTATATTATTATGTCAAGCATCACTAAATCTACCTACATATCTATAATCACGGTTAAAAATCGGTTATCCTCCTTTTTACAGTTTCAACAAACATTTCTAGCAAGCAGCTAGGGGGCTCAATCTCATGTCACTTTATCCCCAGCACAAGAGCTACCTACCATTTGAATTTCGTGACCCTGGCATGTCGGAATCATGAGATATTAAAACCAAAAGTTCTGCTGCGGTACCATGACAGGCCGCCAGGTGGACCAAAATCTAATCATTTTGAGACCTACTTACCTACCAAATATCAAAACAAACCATCAAGGCCTTCTTTAGTTATCGTGTTCACAAGCACACACACACAAACACACACAAACACATACACACAAACACACACACAAACACAAACAGACACACACACACTAACAAACACACACACAAACACACACACACACACACACACACACAAACACACACCACACACGCCCCTGAAAACAAAACCTTCTTGGCGAAGGTAACGAATGATACGAGGGGTGATCAAAAAGTTCTCGGCCTCAGCTAGAAAATAAAGGTCAAACTCATATTCTTAAGTTATAACTGTATACTATGACGTGTTACATCACTGCACTCAAAAATTCAAATTTTTATGTTCATTAATTAGCACGTGATGCCCCGTGAAAATGAGGTGGGTGAGGTCAAAATCCCAAAATGGCCGCAACAGAAGCGTGTGCTGTGATCAAGTGTATCGATAAAAAAGGATGTCTCCTAAGGACATCCATGAAGACATGGTCAAGACACTTGGTGATCACTCCCCTTCTTATTCAACTATAAAGACGTGGGTTACTAGCCACAAGCGCGGCAAGGAAAGCACAAAAGACGAACATATGTCAGGATGCCACAAATCCATCACATGATAGTAAATGACAAATGTGAGACTGGTCAACATGTAGCAGGTTTTTTGGCCTGTGTTATGACTCAGTTCACAATGTTTTGTCGAACATCCTGGGGATGAACAAACTGTCTGCATGTTGGGTGCCTTGAATGTTTTCTGAACATCAGAAGTTAAACAGGCTGGACATTTTAAGGAACGAATTCAGTCCAATCCATGCAATTTTCTCAAAACATTTGTAACCCACGATGAGCTGGGTTCACCTCTTTCACCCTGAATCAAAACAGCAGAGCAAACAATGGATGAAAAAATTTTCCCGGCCCCCCAAGACGTTTTAGCGAGTTTCGTCAGTTGACAGGGTTTTTGCCTCTGTTTTCTGGGACAGTAAGGAAGTAATCATGATTGACTACATGCGGAAGGGTTAAAGCATCAATGGGGAGTACTATTCAACAGAATTGCGACAGTTGAGGTCAACAGTCAAAGAGTAAAGGAGAGGAAAGCTCCGAGCTGGCGTGATGAAAATGCACCTGTCCACACAACACAGGGGTCAACGACAGCAGCAAACGAATTTGGGTTTGCAGTCTAACCCTAGCCTCCTTTTCAGGCGTTCCCGGATCGGTCGTTTTTTTTTGGGGGGGGGGTATTTTCTGATCAAACGTAGATCGCACGCGATAGAAGCTCCAGCCGGCAACCCTACATATATATCCGTGGAACGCCTGCTCTCATTCGGTAACAACAAACGGTATAGAATTAATTCCCGTTTTTCCAACAAAAGAACTATCTCAGCGCAGACTGTCATTTAAGCAATAAACCAACCAGCGCGCGCCGTGGGGCGCCACCGGGCATGTGCTTCGCTTGAAACAACAATGAAGGAAGCATGCGAGAATACGACTGAAAACGGGGTCATATCCTGCGTATCCACAGATATTCTCATCGAAAAAATGGTCGCTACGACCTGAAATCTTACGGGGTTCTCTTTAGAGGGAGATTTGTTTCTTTTTAGCCGAGAATAATGCTAAATCGGCGTGGTTACGTGTCAGAGACCCACACGACACACTTCCGGATGGAGTGAACCGCGAAGACACTATGAAACCGAATATCAACGCTTACAAGATTCATTTCTAGTTGGCTGGTGGCAGGAAATAAGAAAATTCAATAAACTTCATACTTATTCTAAAATTAAAAAAAAAAAACATGTCAGCTTGGAAAAGTATTTATCATCAATTCAAAATGAATCTTTTACGGCAAGCATAACTAAAATGAGGATAAGTTCACACGGTCTGGAAATCGAAAAAGGCCGTCATTTTAATACACCAGCCGATCAGAGATATATGTACTACTGTAGGGTTGCCGGCTGGAGCTTCTATTGCGTGCGATCTACGTTTGATCAGAAAATATCCCCCCCCCCAAAAAAAAAACCGCCGATCCGGGAACGCCTGAAAAGGAGGCTAGTCTATTCCCAGCCTTCAATTCACCTGACCTAGCACCCTCGGACTTCTACCTGCTTCCTAAACTAAAGTTCCATTTACGTGGTCAACGTTTTGATGGTAATGATGGCGTCATCTATGCGGTTGAGGCCAATCTGGGGGGGTCCAGATGCAACCTTCTTCCACAAGGGGAAAAGAAAGCTAGAACATCACTGGACCAAGTGCATTGCAGTTAGAGAGGACTTCATTAAAAAATAGTGTAAGAAAAATTTTAATGCCCTTACCTTTTCTAGGTGAGGCCGAGAACTTTTTGAACACCCTCCGTAAAAACCCATTGGTCGCTATATTAAAACTGGTCTACTGACTTCATAGAAGAAATGCATATTATGTATTATTTTGGTGATATTTGCTCGTTTAAAAAAAAAACCTGGAAGACTAACTAATAAGAATGTTTGTGTAGTGTTTAACTCTTCGATGACATCTGACCCACTGTACATGTTTTTTACTAGCATGTACAGTGGGTCAGATGTCATTGGCATCATTGGCACGAAGCTTGTAAACAATGTTTCTTCTAGAGGTGTATGGAACTGATGACCTTTTGCGATTACACACAATACTATGACAACCATCTGTTGCAATGCTGACTCGTTGTTTAAAGAACACAACACGAACAGATTTTAACCCCTACCTTCAAGCTAAAGGTCGCGGGATATCCAAATGTTTTTATCGTAACTTATCGGAAGGAATGCTTTTCATCTACCGATACAGCTTTGCTATCAGCTAAACCACAAAGACATGAACATCGATGATCTTTTCAACATTCATTGCCGGCAATATTTGTTCTACAGTTTTCTTGCCAAAAAGTTACATAGTTGGACTTTAAACTATACATCTACTTAACCCTCAACAGTACACCTTCCCGGACTGATTAATCTGTACACCTGGGGTCCGCGCGGACCCCAGAGCAGTTTTTTGCTAATTTTTAGAAATTATCAACATGCTACCAGCTCAATTGTTTTGCAAACTGATGTGGGAACCTCTGTGTCCACATTACATACAAAAATCATACATTTTGAACTTTTTCTATTTTTTGGTGAAGAAAAGAAGACAAGAAGAAATACCCGATTTTTAAACCCATTTCAGACTGAAGGGGCTTTTGAGGCCCAACTTTGATCTCAGATAGCGGCTAAACGGCTTGCGCTAGAAGTATCAAATTTGGAGACCTTTCCTAAAATGTTTCTGGAAAAAAGTTCATATTAGTTTAATACTAGTAAGTTGATGTTTTTTTGTGTTGCCATGGCAGGCAGTTTTTTTTTAAATAGAAGTAATTTTGGTTTAAACATAAAAATTTTCCGAGTTTTATATTAAATTACACTTCTTTTCCAACATTAATAACATCTTACATAATTAAATATAAGTTAAATCATTTAATATGCATATAATATGCTAATTTGATGACGTCATTGGTCAAAATCCAATATGGCGGACTATATTATTAGCTATGACGTCATAATTACACCAAAGTTATTAAAATTTAATTCTATTACTACACCAATCTCTGAAAACTTGGTAGACATACGATGAGTGCATAAAAACATATAAAAACGGAAAAAAGGTAATGTATAAGAACGCCAATGTATCCATTATGATCGAAAGCCGGCTGGGGTCCGCGCGGACCCCAAAAGAAAATCAGATATAATTTTTTTTATAAATGGTAGAAACTGAATTTTCTGCATTGTATTGAGAGACAACTTTGTGGGTGACAATTACCTAAAATTTCAGAAAAAAATCTTTAGAAACAAAAAATGTATTACAGAATATATAGTGCTGGGGTCCGCGCGGACTCCAGGTGTTCTGTTTAGGGTTAATATGTTTATCCACGACACGAAAACTGTATTTAATCATGCTTATATCATTATTGTGACCGAAGAAGTGTAAAAAAAGCACTCATTTTGTGGTTGAAAAGTCTTTTTCGCATCGATAACGGTAAATTTTTTATTGTGAAGTAAAACAAGAAGCCATAGGGGACAATTCTCCGTGAAGTAGTATATATTGCAACAAAAAGAAGTAGCCATTGGCAATTCTCTGTGAAGTGTGATAAATCGAACAAAGAAAAATTGTTTAAACGCACATACAGTCTAAACAACGGGGAAGGGCGCGCGATGCCCGAAATATTGTTGCGTCAATATTCAGCGCCGTGTTTCATGAGATTAATACCGGGAAACAAGTTCTTTTCTTGTTTTGAACGCATAAACATGCATTTGCGCTAATCTAGTATGATTCAGGGTTACTTTTTTTTTACCTGCCATGGCCAGATTATCTAAAGTAAAGATGTGTGTATTGTGTGTACAATCTACAGAAAGAGAAATGTACATCAGGTCCGATCATCCGATTGTCATGTTTCGGTTTTTTGGACTCGGTTCATGAACGTATTTTGGTTTGGCTCCTGGAATGAACGAATGTTGGAAAAAATGACTCCCGGGACTGTCTACAGGGAACACTCGCATATTGCCCAACATTCGCGGTGTATCAGGACAGCGCAACTGGTCGGCATTAGCGCAGTCCCTGTAATTAGTAACAGTTGCACATCAATCCGGCCGAAAGCATTATTGTGTAACACAGGCTACTTCTTCATATACCGGCTCATACTACAAGACGCCTTTACAACTAGCAAATCATAAAATTACCCGATCTACTAGTATGTGCGGTTTACCAGCCCCAGACCACATCCGACCACGAGGCAGAACACATTGATGGGTTGCTCAAAAATATGGTCCATGTTTACAGAGAAGCGGCCAGCATGCTCGTTGCTAGGACGACCGGCCAGTTGCTACGTGACTAAATACACGCCGCCACTAGGTCGCCACAGCCGACCAGTTTAAAATCGATAGGAATACGTCATCGGTATTTATATTTCGTAATGTTGACCTCTGACCACCCCACATTTCCGTCCCCATCAGCCTGACCGCGACTTATAATTACTACCGGTCACATAAACGGCCGGACGAAAACATTTCAGCGACATGGGGATGTTTCGAAAATAAGCATTTACTCCAATATCAAAACAGCTACGGTAAAAATAAAAAGACGTGCATCATCCCGGACATAATGCCACACCACATGCGAAATTACACAGAAATGCGACGTACGGAAGAATGCGTTTTGGCTGCGAACATCTTCCAAAAAACTTGCCATCTCTTAACCATGGGCAAAAACATCTGGAACCACTTATAAAAACCACCCCGTATCTGCATGAAGTTCCACCCCCCCACTGTTATTCCAAACAACGCGTTTTTCTGGACCATTCCAATTCGCCTCGTAATTGTAGGGGTGCGTCTGCAATATTACATTGACCGCGAAAGCAGCAACGGCAAAAATACACATTCGTGCATCAACACGGGCATGCCCGCAGACGGCGTATAAAATTGCGTGCCGATTACAAAAAGAGAACCCAGTGTTTTGACTGCGAACATGAAAAATCAGCCGTTCACAACACTCCGTCCGGAGGTCCTGACCTCCTTCACGGAGTAAAAATGGAAGCTTTTCGAAACGGAAGCTATACGGAAGGTCTCTACCGCTTAATAGTTAGGTTTGCTTCTATTCCGCTTGGAGAAATGCCAAACATGGCGTATGTTTCCGGAGAAGCCGTATGGAGACAGAAAAGATTGCGCTATTTGCCTGGCCAATGGAAATGTGAAATGCACCTTGTAATGATTGGTACGTGGAACCTAAACGGAGGATATACCCACCCGTTAGCTTGTCACGTACATTGAAAAATAGAGTTCGGCGATCTCATACCTCCATGACATGTTTAGTGATTTCGTAAATATTATGCATGGTGATGATCACCTTTAAATGGCTGACATTTACAATCCTACTCATTTACAAGATTTATATACAAACTAGAGGTCGGAGATCTCATGCCTTTGTCAGAGGGACATTGTTCTAGATAAAGGAACGTTTTTTAATACTAGAAATCAGTTTGGTCTAAAGTACAAAAGAATCTCTGTACTCCTTTTTTTTTCTATTCAACGACAGTGTCGCAAACTGTAATGAGAAGATGTGATGAAAGGAAAGAATCAGAACAGGGGGAGATTTATTGCTGTTTTCGTTTGTTGTTACACTATGTTCTTTTATTCAATTTGCATCCTAACCTTTGTATTTCCACAGTTAATATGTTCCAAATCTGTGCGTGTAAATCAGTTTTTTTTGGGCCTTCATGTATTTTATCGCACTTTTGCAATAAATTTAAGTTCTCCAGTGGACGTCATCCATAAAGATTACTGGGTCTGGCCTTACAATTTAAGGGATGACCTGCCTTACGCATGTCCACCTTTTTCCTCCCCCGCCCCAGTATTTATATGACAGCACCTCAATTGTAAGCAATTGATAGCTGACAGCTGTCCCCCATGTGAACCAATGCAGAGGTTGGTGGGGATGGTTCATTATGTATCTAACACAAAAGGTCCACTGTAGCGACATAGGAACCCCCCACGAGGCCTGTTTTCGAACTTGACCTTGGCCTCTACAATGGTAGGTTGCCTACCAAAAATCATGAGCATCTGTTTAAATATACTTGAGTTATTTTGCTAACAAGCCACAAACACAAAAAAGTCCACTGCAGTGACGAACGGACCCCCACGAAGCCCAAACTTACACTTGGCATTGGCCTCCACAACGGTAATCTGCCTGCCAAAAAGCATGGACGTCGAATAATGCCTTCAAGAGTTATTCCGCTAAATCCGCAGTCACCCACAATGCGGCGAGACAATTTCATAGTCCTTCTAACGAAAACAATTATTCACATAGACCCTATCTAGTAACATGCAACACATTGGTGAAATCCTTACTATTTAACATGGACCACGTATGTTTGTTGGTTATTCATGTATGCAAGCACGACCTCTGACATACCTTTACAAATTATAAGAGCCGATTTGCATATTTTATATCAGTTAATCATATTCTCCACCCAATGAGAGGGTTATCTTAAGAAATAAGGCCATTCTAGCGTTTACTCATCAATTATGCAAATGAGGTCCTGATTTGAATAAATTATGTTACATGTATCAAAGTGCCATGATGTAAAACACTGGAATTACAGAATTTCCTAATTAATTATGCAAATGAAGTCATCATTTGCCTCCAAAAGTGTAGATCTTTGTCTAAGCTCCCCACCTACTTAAAATCATAAAAATACATGTTCCTTTGTGAATTTATTTGCTCTGAAAGGTTTTGACAGAAACCCCCCTGCAGCTCCAGAACAAGCTGCTAGGGGGACAAAACCTACACCACTTATTACTGACAGGAAAAGCTATGTGCCACTCAAAAAAATACAAAAACCGGAAGTTTTGCTGCAGTACCAAGCACCAGGAGATCCAAAATCGACCATGGTGAGTTCGTGACTAACCCAGTCGTGACTAACTCAGTCGTGACCTAACTGTTTAAATACAAACTGGGTCGACCTCCCCGGACACGCGTAGGAAGTTCTGGACTAGGTGGTGTGCGAAGCGGAGAGAGTGTACTAAAAGATTTTAAAAAGTGTCTGCACTGAAAACCATTGACAAGAATCACCGTTGATCGAACATCATGTCTGCGATGTTGGATCTTCTGCCGTTGTCGCCAACCTGGGTGTTGCTGGGACTGTGTTTTCTACTCTACTATCTGTGAGTACGCTGTAGTATACTTGAAGTACATGTGCCTGCAACACTCAGTCACTCACTTACTGCGTCGAACTCGCTCGAAGTCTCCCATGACTGTCTGTTTCCATTTCTCTCTATCCTCCATCTTATCAATGACTCGGATTCCACAGTAAGAGTTTGTGTACTATCTCATTCTTGTTCCTCCAACAGTGGCATACAAAACGTAGTCTTCTTTGCCACATTGTTTCAGCAATCGGCGGGTTTTACCTGTCTAGACAGTGTGAACCACCAGCTGGGTAGGTCATTAGTGAGGCCATTCCGGTGAGCTGTGTCAAAAGTCCAGCGTCCTTCAAGTTCCGTACGTGACCCAAGCACGTATCGTGATTCTGCCCATGTTCCTAGCCTCTACCAGGCATCGCGGATCGCTGGAAAAATAGTAGAAATTGGCAGAAATAAAGGGATGGTATACCAGAGAAGATATACCATCCCTTTATTTCGGCCAATTTCTAATATTTTTCCAGCGATCCGCGGTGCCTGGTAGAGGTTAGGCCTTGGTTTGTTTTTGACACACAAACACACACACACACACACACACACACACACACACACACAAACGTCCAAGTTTAAGAGATATAGACCTTCAGTGCACAAATCGGTACAGAACGCAAACAGGAAGAAGGCATGGTAGGGAATACTCCGTTCGCTCGATGAAAAGAAATGTAAGAAAAATCACCACCAAAGTCAAGATTCTCAGACTACTCTGAATATTACCATAAAACGGGTGCAACAGTTTTATGGTGAGTTAGCGTTGCCAAGTGCACGTGCCATCACGGGCACGCTATGGAAATAGTGAAATTTGCACAGTATAATCATTATCCCTGGGGCTCTTATCAGTATTTTTTTGTAGTTTTCTTTAATGGTCTGGATGCGTTATATATGGCAAGAAATTGGACATAGCAAACCATGGTGCATTTCAAAACCTAACAGAAAACCTAACATTGAATGATATTGCACCCAGGGGAATTCACTGGTTTTCAACCTCTTTCCTGCATCTCTGGTGAAGCTCAGTGAAGTTTCCTCGCTGCAGGTCTGAGGAAACATGACAAGCATACTTTTCTAAGACTTACATTCTGAACGGCCGTCTAACATATAACACTATTAAGCACACCACATGTGGTTATCAACATGTGGTTATCTCAGGGATCCTTGCACTGTTAGATTCTCTGTTAGATTTCTAACAACTGAAACCTAACAGCCTGATGATGCAGCCTGAGACACCGTGAAAAACACGGCACACATTCTGAACGGCCGTCTAACATATAACACCATGGTCCATTAAGCACACCACATGTGGTTATCTACATGTGGTTATCTCAAGGATCATTGCACTGTTATATTCTCTGTTAGATTTCTAACAACTGAAACCTAACAGCCTGATGATGCAGCCTGACACACTGTGAAAAACACGGCACACATTCTGAACGGCCGTCTAACATATAACACCATGGTCCATTAACACGTGCCATTAAGCACACCACATGTGGTTATCTGCATTTGGTATCTCATGCATCCTGCCTCTAATTAAGAACAGCACTGGCTATCCAGGCATTGCAAGCACTTTTAGATTCCAATCTCCAAGCAGAGGTTGGTGGGGAATAAAAGTGATAGGAAACACTTTTTTCTTTTTTCTTCACGGGTCGCCACTGCTGCACTCTTCCCCTCCAAGACTCCTCTGGGGGTCAGCACTTCCAGGTCCTCCTTGGTGCATGTTTCAGGCAGGAAACACTGATAACACTTAGATTTAGTATAATCTCTTTGGTATAATAAGAATATTTCAAATTAAGAATATTTCAAATTTTTGTGTAAAAAGCTACCTAGTGTCCCTTAGTGATAGTGATAGTCAAGTTTATTGCGCAACAATTGCATTTGATACAATTTGAAAGCCAGCAAGGAATTATATGTAGTACTGAGCGTGGCAGGAATGACTTTAGAGTCGATTCCAAGTCACCGTATGACTACCCTGGATGCCAAAACTAGTATCGGGCTGTTAGCCGTTTTCCTTCGGCAGCCGAGAGCTCTTTGTCCGCCTGCCTAAATTAGCGCTACGGGGGAGTTGAGCCCGAAGGGTTTGTCCGGCTTTTACTGGGCTCACTGAGATATTTTGCGCCCGGTGTGCTATGGGTCTGGAAGTGGAACCCAGGCTAATAGTTTTGGGGATAGCTTTAGATTCCTAGCCTTCATAGCATGCCAAAAACTTGGGAGGTTTTGGGGGTCTTCATGGTTAGCCTGGATGCCAGACCCAAATGTGTCCAGTGTGCTATGGGTCTGGCATCCAGGCTACTTCATGGTCTTTGGGAGCTTTCTGATTGCATGTTAACAAGACAACATAGCTAGCTGGCGCGGTTGAATTACTCCCCGGGGCTAATCAGAAAACAGCCGAAGACCACCAAACCCCCAGTTCTATAAGCCTGCTACGGTCAGGCTAGTAAATTCCCGAAAAAAGTATGCATCCCAGTACGCACCCCCGATTTGGGGCTGGTGGTGACAAATATTTATGGGTACCACGCTCCCACCAACCTAATCTCCAAGCAGATCTTTTGGTGAGGGTAAGACAGACTATCAATATATCATTACTATCAAATTGGCTATAACCATTTCCCCACCCATGGGTGATCATGATACTGCCCTAATCCTCACCAAAAGATCTGCTTGGAGATTACCACCAACCCAGTCTGGGACTATAAGAGGTTGAAAAAATGCAATACTTAAAAAAAAACATTACTTCAAATAGTGTAAGTATCCATGTATAACAGTAACCGCTGAAAAATAGTTCGCAAGCTCGGAGGACATAAATTGAAAATGACGCCTCATCACGGCAAAAATTTAGTGAAAACAGTGTTCACACATTTCTTCACCTACATTGAAGCCCCCACAATATTTTCTTAGCCATGAAATAGCTGTCAGAATTCTGTATAGGTAACCATACTGATCACATTATCAAGAAAAAGATTAAAACTGACAAAACGACAGCGTGTGTCTTGATACGTAAACAACTCTACTGTAAAGACCCCCCTACACACACTCACTCCATCCAGGATTAGATTACAACGTCGACAAATAGTTACGGATAAACAAAAAAGTGACCGTCAAAATTCTGTTTGTTTTAACAACAAGCCTAAGTCACGATATTCTATCAAATCAGGAGCTAGTTCATTTTTACCCTGGAATCAAGAACTCGTTTTCCGGGTCGCAAGAGTCCTTCGCCCGCTGGTGTAAATTACTGCTACTAGTTTTGGCATCCAGGGTAGTTCACTTTTAGTGCATTTTTAATTTTGATCTGAAACCATAGCCTCCGTAGCAGGCTTATAGAACCGGGGGTTGGGTGGTCTTGGGCTGTTTTCTGATTAGTCCAGTTTAAAAAACGGGGGTAATTCAACGAGGCCGGCCGGCTATGTTGTCTATATGCAATCAGAAAATACCACATAAAAGCTCCCAAAGACCCTGAAGACCCCCCAAACCCCCGGTTTTTGGCATGCTATGGAGGTAACTGAAACACCTGCTCGGCGGTGCCAAATCATGCAAGAAGTTACATACACCCAGGACATTGTGATAGAACGTGTTCCGATGCACTTTGATCATTGACCCGCGGTCATCGAACTCTGAATTCGAACTCTGAATTCAAAGGTTCTTCTAAAATGTGAAACAAACTTAAAGGTTCGATTTTTGGCCTAAAATGCAACTTTTTGCACCCATTTGTTTGCCAATAAAATCATTTTTGACGTCTATGTTGGGAAAAAAGACCAAGGTTCGGTGTGTTAAATACCAATCTACTAGCATGCTAAATTTCATTTTCGTTCAGGCTCTAATTACGAAAATATTGATGTTTTGTCCGTGTTTCCTATCACTTTTATTCCCTACCAACCTCTGCTTGGAGATTGGAATCTAAAAGTGCTTGCAATGCCTGGGTAGCCAGTGCTGTTCCTAATTAGAGGCAGGATGCATGAGATACCAAATGCAGATAACCACATGTGGTGTGCTTAATGGACCATGGTGTTATATGTTAGACGGCCGTTCAGAATATGTGCAGTGTTTTTCACAGTTGTCAGGCTGCATCATCAGGCTGTTAGGTTTCAGTTGTTAGAAATCTAACAGAGAATCTAACAGTGCAAGGATCCCTGAGATAACCACATGTAGATAACCACATGTGGTGTGCTTAATAGTGTTATATGTTAGACGCCAGTTGAAAATGCATCTCATGTTTTCCTCAGCCTGCTGGCTGTTAGGTTTGTTAGAAATCTAACAAGAGAATCTAACAGTAGGATCCCTGAGATAACCACATTTGGTCAGTGCTTTTAATGGTGTTAGATGTTAGACAAGAGTTCAAGATGCATGTCATTTTATCCTCAGTGTGTGCCTTCAGTTGGGAAGACATAGGCTGACATTTGTGCCACCTGTCTACATTTCCTGGAATTGCAATTACAAACATGTAACAAACCTAACAACAGTGAGCCAAGCCAACACCAGCTAGCTATATAGGCAGATGACTGTTTTAGACCTTATCAAATTAGGTGATGTTATTAGATGTCGGACACCTGCGGTAGGAGTTGCAGGGCCATGATACCATGGCCTCACCCCTTATGTTGTGTGATTGAGATGGCCACACCCCTTCGTGTAGTTAACATTTTTTTTTTCAATTCCCAGGGGAAAGCCTAGTGCTATGATCAATTACGATATTTTGCATTTTACTTGAGATAAGGTCAATATTCACCTGAATTGATTTTATGATCAAGGGATATATAAAGCATGCCCTTCTACAGCAGTCTGATTAATTCCCTAGGTGATTACTTACTCTTAATGATCCACCTAGATTGTCTTTCTATAGGATGTTAACTATCCTTCAATTTGTGTAGGTTGTTATCCCTGATCCACCTAATCCCTTTTTGCAGCCTTTTAGATTTTTGTTAGGTTCTGAAATGCCCCATGCTCTACTGGGTCCAATATCTTGCCACTACTGGGATGCGTGTCTCTTATCAACACGGGATGTCCGCTTAACGTCCCAGTTTAAGGGACACAGACCTTCGCTAACAACAGGTAGCGTTGCCAAGTATACGTGCCATCCCGTACACAATATGGAAATAGTGAAGTACGGTATAAAGATGGCGTGAGCGAGCGCGCGATAGCATTAGCCCCTGGTAAATAATTACTGGAGGAAAGGGGGCGGATGTGTCGGTGGGAAGGTGGCTTTTAGCAAATAAAGCCATGCACGTAACAGCTTGCTTCATTTCCAACATGTAATCACCAGACGTGGTGACGGCACACTAAAGTTTTATCAACTTATATTAATGCCGACACCAACACATGGGACGACTACATGACAGGACAATACTCATTTTCACCTGAGCAAAGTGAGAAAAGTCGTGTACAGTGTCTTGCCAAGGGCACAAGATTCCTCTAGGTTCCGCGTCGCGCACTCTGCCGCTACGCCACACGACCCCACCTAGAATGTAAGAAATGTGAAGGTTGAGTGTGGGATTGTCCACAAAGATATGGACAATTGCTAGCAAATATAGATTTATCTGTGTTCTTGAATACATATAATACAGCCTGTGCAATGTGAGTTATTTCTTAGCGATTGTTTGGTCGGAAGGTGGCTTTAAACAAATAACACCTTACGTAACACCTTACGTCGTTTTTTGGTGAGAAATATGAAGGTTGAATGCAAGATTGTCTACAAAGATGGCTCACCGACTGTTAACAAATATAAATTTATCTCTGTTCTTGTGTACATATTATACAGCCGGTGTACGAGCCTCAGCTAGTGCTAGGGACGGTTTTTCTAGGCTAGTTAAAGTTTCTGACATGCCTGAGCATTCATTCATTCATTCATTCATTCATTCATTCATTCATTCATTCATTCATTCATTCATTCATTCATTCATTCATTCATTCATTGTTTAAGCCCTCCCTGGTTATTTTGCCTGCCGGGAACAAGTAACTATGCTGGAGGAACTGATTTCTTTTCATTTCAAACTATACTTTTAACATCACAAAGAAACAAAAGGAAGCCAAACGTCTGTATTAGAGTAGTTTTAGACCTTATGTAGATTAGTATCGGTAGTCCTGTTTGTACTACAAGCATGTAATCTTTACACCTTTTTATCTGTCCACCTGTACTGAGCCCGATAGGGCATGAATGTACAGTAAAGGTTAGCTGTAAAAATATTATCAGAGCCTGTTGCAACCGGTGCAATAGCACAATTGGTAGAGTGCTCGCTTTGTAACCGGGAGGTCGAGAGTTCAAACCCCAGCCGGGTCATACCAAAGACTTTAGCACTCAGCACATATGAGAAAGAGTGTGGGAAGGTCAAACACAGCACTACCAGCGGACTAGCCCCCTGCTGTAGTGCATTGCACAAATGTGTCGCCCAAGGGCCACAGAAATGGATATGAAATATTTAAGATATGGGCACCACCCTAAGCTAAGCTTTGGATAAGGGCACTGCAGACCTTTCTGTAGGAATATCCTGTATGTAACATACTGAAATGCACACTGTTTCCTCGTAGATATGTAACATGGCCGTTCTACACGTTCAAGAGACTCGGCATCCCTGGCCCTTCGCCTGTGCTGCTTTTTGGAAACATCCTCAGCTACAGTGAGGTCGGTACCTTAGAATTTGAATTGGTCAACTGGTACAATCGTTCTACGGCGTAACAAACGAATAAGCACATAGATAACGTACGTAAATATAGCCGTGACACTTAGGAGTCTTTTTCATGCTCAACTAGTTTTGAAGTTCTATCGTTGACTAATTCAGTGAGCTCATTTTATTGTCGCTGAACAATAGTGCTGGATGTCACATGAAACATCTGGAAGTAATCTCCGTAATTTATCCAGTGGTAGATTTTTATTATTATTTTCTTTAAATTATGTCTACCTGGATGCCTATCATTCTTCGACGTAAAGGTAAAGATGGTTTAGTAAGTCTAGTCCAATTGTTTAGTTTGTTCAGAATCAATTATCCTTACTTATCCTTAAACTATTTCCATTCCAGGGATCTCACGTCTTCGACTGCAAATGTTATAGGAAGTACGGCAAAGTGTATGGGTAAGTGCTCTTTAAATACAGATAGAGTTATCACAAAAGTAGTGGTGTAAATTAGAGGTTGAGAAATTCAAATGAAGATCGACTGTGGAATGGCTAATAGGCTCCAACTTCAACACTTACCTTCGGGTCATTTTGTGAGTCCGTTGTTACTTGAACAGTAGAATCACAGTAAGTTAAGTGAGCATTAGGGGTAATGGTGTAACCACAGACTGACAAGAAGCTCGAATTGGTCTTCCCGCAGTTTGAGAGGGAATGGGGTTGAATTGGAGATCAAAATGGTCTCCTCATAGCCTTGGAGCAAGGCGGTTTTGAACCTAGCTCCTTGCCTGGAGGAACAAAAAAAAAACACAACAACTGAAATTATTTTACGTAGGTGTGGAATCTTCAGCAATTTCTTTTTATTCTTTAATTCGCAGGTTCTTTGAGGGCCGTGAGCCAATGCTGATGGTGGGTGATTTGGAACTCATCAATGAGATCACAGTCAAGCAGTTTAACAACTTCAGCAACCGAAGGGTGAGCAATATGCGGAAAATGTCTTTCAGCATTTTACTCCTGGTCGTCCATTGTGAAAAATGTTAGTGTTTAGAAGTCCATGGTATGGCGGTTCCAGTGGGGAAGGGATGAATTCCACCAAGTCTCTAATCTCAAAGCAGAAAAGGAAAGAGAAGGTCTGTAGCCAACGGACCAGCTCTTGGACTGCAGTTACAGTGTTACTAAGCAAAAAAGAAGGAAGAAATTATTGTCAGCTTTTTCACATGGCAGACACCCAGGCTCAGACACCATAATCATAGATGAACTTTAATGCTTATGTTGGCTGTTTTTTTTTTTCGATTCTTTCACAGGATCTAGGATCTCTCTTGGAAGCGTGGGCGGGCAGTCTTTTCGTGATCGAAGACACGGACTGGAAGCGGGTTCGGGGCACCGTCTCTCCCACCTTCAGCTCAAGCAAACTCAAACAGGTACGTTCCCAACTTTGATAGTGAACAATTTAATCGGGTTTGTGAATGAATGAATACTAAAGCCATTTTGAACAGCATTAACAGTAACATATAGCTTCAGGGCACAGTGATCCAACCACTATTGCCCTGATGAAGATTTAAAAATAGAAAATGAAGCTGAAGATGACATACTACAAGTAACTTGGCTCATGTGTTCATGCAGATGACCATGCTTGTGGAAAAATGCGCCGATGGTCTGGTTTCCATCCTTATGGAGAAGCAAGAAAAGAGTAGCATGTTCGACCTGAAAGAGTGAGTATCCAGAGAGCAGCAAGTTTCTAAACTTAACTAGATCAGAGAGTCCGAAATCTAATTATCTCGAGGTCTCAGCAAGACCTACCTACCTACCATCTATCAAGACGATCCACATAAATATTGACACGCGGACACACACACACGAACGGTTGATAGCAACTAGATTCAATTTGTTTATCTAAACATATGGGCTACACCAGGCCTGCGAAGCTGGTGTGTTTCGCCGAAGGGCCGTTATACCGGCTGTACAGATGCAGAAGCTGGTGTGTTACGCCAAAGGGCGGTCATACCGTCTATACAGATACAGATACATATCTGGAAGGATAAGCTTTCCTCTATGTGTCAGGCCAACAGTCATCCCGGATTATTAGTTTGAATCTAAATCCGATAAACCTTTCCTTGTAGGGTTACCTCCGCGTATGCCCTGGACGTGATCTCCAGCACGGCTTTCGGTGTGGAGGCCGACTCTCTCCATAACCCGGACCATCCTTTTGCCGTCCACGCCAAGGCAATCTTCAACATCAACATACTAAAGGGACTTTTCTATGTCATCCGTGAGTGTCACACTAACCCTGTATCCTTCCATAAATTTATTTTTATCTGTTACGACTTTCGAAGTTCTTCATATGTTACTGCTGTTGCATACCTTTATTTATCAACGACAGAAACTACACTCGGCCTGTCCACGGTACTCCTACATACTCTCTTAGTTCATAAGACTCCATGCTGCAGCAGATAGAAAGTCCGTTAGTTTTGAAATTTGTACTCTGTGTATGCTTTGCTGTCTTCCAAATCATACTCTTAAACCGTGGATAATATTACAATTATGAATCCGTAAGTCATACAAATCCACTTTTGGTCGCTTTCATGTTGTAAGGGTCTAACTGGTGTATTTTTCTAATATTCCCTGCTACAGTGCCGCCTCCATTCAACTATGTATTTAAGAAGGGTGGATTCTCCCTCTTTCCAAAGTTCGCCACCAAATTTTTCCAGCGCACCATCCGGAAGGTCATCGAGATGAGGCAGAGCAACCCTGACGAAGCGGTAAGTCTCCACTTTTATAAATGGAAACATTCTGAGTTAATAAGTACCACCTACATATCATTCCATACAATCGTACTTCTAGTAACCATGCCAGATGCCATCGTGAGCACAGAAGGACCTCATTTCTATATTTGCAACTATTCCCCAGCTATCACTCTTATGTATGTTTTTTTGCACCATGTACGTGCATAGATTTAATGGAACTGTCAATGATTTAAATTGTATCTTTTCTGTCTGACTCTTCCATCATAACCTCGGTGAAACGCGGCCTGCAGACAGATCTGAACTTCTTATGAATAAACAAAGTTTCCAACAAACTAAATTTAATACACTCTGAATATGCATGTAACGTTAAGTATTTAATGTTAAGTTGCTTTTCTAACACGATCAAACATGAGAATTTATGTGCCTTCTAGAAACGCGTGGACCTCCTTCAGCTACTTCTCAACGCTCACAATAAGTCTCTAGACGAGAAGACAGGCGAAGGAATTGTTAAGGAAGGCAAGTATAGCAGTTCTTTTTACTTTTCTTTTAAAAAAAAACGGTGCAGAATTCTGTGCAGGATTGTGCATATTTACCGACGCTACAGTTGCCTTAGTATGTTTCATCATCCTAAAGGATCAACATATCTTTATCCCGAAAAAGATATTTTTTTTTTAAGTTGGGAACATTATCCACTGCCTTGCTTCACCCAATGTCTCCCTGCATGTCTGTTGAATGTACTGTCATGTCTTTTGCTTTGTGGCAGAACAAACTAACTAATCGCTAGAATAATATCCACGGTGATCCAAGCATATATCTTTGGTGGGTGAAAAGACAGTATTGACAAATTGACCAGGCAGTATCCATTTGTCCAGCACCCACTGTTTGGCAAATGGATACAGCCTGGCCAATTTGATACTGCCATTCCATCCACTCAAAAGATCTGCTTGGAGATTAAGGAATCTGCACATGTCCAGGTCTGTCCATGACTGAGGTGATTGGGAACTCCATGGTCTTCTGGCTGGCCGCTTACGACACGACAGCTAACACCATCGCTCTCACAGCCTACAACCTCGCCTTCAACCAGGAGGCTCAGGACAGGGTCATGGAGGAGGTCGACACAGTCGTGCAGAATCGGGTGAGTTTCTCTTGGATCTATTAAATGAAGGAGTTAAACTAGTGCGCACGGCGAATGTTCAAGCTATGAGAAACTTGCAGCTGGCATCCGCCATCTTTCATCAGCTCATGGGGTGATGACAGAGACCTAGGATCTCGTTGGTTTTTGTTGAAAAAGCCACGGCTTTTTCAACCTGATTAGGGGTCTGCGTAAAGATTTAATAGTAAGTGCAGGGGTAAAATGCAAGATGCTATATGTTACAGATAGGAACAAGGAACCAATACGCAGGCCAAAAGTTTACATGCCTCCTGTAAGCTTGTCATCTTAGAACACTTGTAAAGGAATTCCCATAATGCTTAACAGTACATACCTACATATTTGAAGATCGCGTAAAGTACATCAGAATACAACATTGTCCTCACACAGGGAGAGCTGGATTACGAAGCAGTGAACGAAATGCGGTACCTGGACATGTGCGTGAAGGAGACCCTGAGGATCTATCCTGGTGCAAAACGGTCAGTCCTTTTTGTTTGAAGGATGTGTATCGTGCATACGTGCTTTTAAAAGCATGTGACTTGTTTATTGTCTAGTTTTCATGAAGATACAAGATTGTAGCATAAGCGACCAGATCGTCTTTTTTTATATTCTGAAACATGTAATCACAAGACGTGGTGACGGCACAATCAAGTTTTTTCAACTTATATTAATGCCGCCACCAACACAGGTACAGTACAATACTCATTTACACCTGAGCGAAGTGAGGAAAGTCGTGTAAAGTGCCTTTCCCAAGGGAACAGGTCGTCTTTTGAAGGAACATTGAGCCCTTGGGCCCGTGTATTTGGGAGGCCCATGTGTCAAACCCCTTCATGTTAAATACCACCACACTCTCATCGAGAATAATATGAGTGACACAGATGGCAACACACCAGCTTCTGTATCTTTATAGCCGTTAGAGCCGCTCTTCGGCGTAACACACCAGCTTGTCGGGCACGCGGTGCGGTGGCAGCTGGCTACATCACACCGAAGGACTCTTTACACCTAATCTTTGCACGTCTAACTCTGTGGTCAACTACATGTATACAGGTTTGATCATTTCTGTAAGAAGGACACACTCATCGAGAAGTGTAGGGGTGACACTACATGTGTGCTTGGCCAGATTGGTGGCATTAGAGGCTATGCTTCTCTCTAGTCACTGGATGGCCAAAAATGTTTTACGTATGTTTGTGTTCGCCTTTAGGTTTGATCGTGTGTGTAAGAAGGACACGGATGTGAAGGGTCTGCACATCCCTGCGGGAACCATCGTGAACATCCCCGCCTACGCCATCCACCACGACCCGGAGCTCTGGCCGGAACCGGAGAAGTTCAAGCCCGAGAGGTACCCCATACATTGTACTGGATTAAAGTCTGCTTCAATGCTTTGATGAATGGTTTATTTGACATTTCACTCACATATATCACACTTGCAGTCGTAAGACTGAATTATGGTGATAATACATACATTATCATAGACTTATACAATATATTACTAAAGGTTTAAAGTTATAATTACACAACAAATTTATCTATCCCATCAGTATGTTTTGTAATCAAGACGAATGCACTGCACTCTTGACCAGGCATTGTAACTACTGGCTTCTTGATACACCTTTGATAATGTTATTGTCCTGTTGCAATTTCAATAAGTCAAAGCCTAGCCTTAATTGACTGCATTCTTCGGGGCTTAATGAAGTCTATAACTCCTTGCCATTTGGTAGCATTGTGGCAAGGATGCGGTCCCAAACGTGACTGGATTCTGTTGCTCCTTGTCACAAAGCTGCAAGGACTGGAAGTGCCACGTTTGGGACCGCATCAATACTGCCCCCATTGTAGCTGTGTACCTGAGTGCTCCGGTCGTTAAGTTGCCTCTTTCGTACATACAAAAACATCATTTTTAACGTATCTTCGGTTTTTCTCAACACAGGTTCTCTAAAGAGGCGCAGGAGTCACGTGACCCGTACGCATTCATGCCGTTCGGTTCCGGTCCCAGGAGTTGTCCGGGCATGCGCCTCGCGATGTTGGAAATCAAACTGGCGCTGGCCAGAGCTCTGGACAAGTTCCGCTTCGTCACCTGTGAGAAGACTGAGGTAAAAATTATTTTTTTGTCTTCTTCATTGTCTAGTCTTTTTGGGGGGGAGTATTGAGTCCTCAGACCCGTGTATTAAGGAGGCCCATGCGTCAAACATCTTCATGTTAAAGAGACCATGTTGGGAATCAAACTGGCCCTGGCCAGAACTCTGGAGGAGAAGTTCCGCTTCGTCACATGTGAGAAGACTGAGGTAACTGTCACTGACCTGTCGCTGTCGCTTACTTTAATCACAGATCTCATTTGAAAAACAATTGAAGTGCAATACAAGTAAAACATAGCCTACGATGTAGCATAAAGTGGTTTGTCTAGAATGTAGAGAATGTGATGTTATGTTGATTTTGTCATTAACCAAGTGTTAATGACAAAATCCACATAACATAATGTATCTGTATCTGTATAGCCGGTATAACCGCCTTTCGGCGTAACACACCAGCTTCGCAGGCACGCGGCGCGGCGGCAGCTGGCTATATTACACCGATCGACTTGTTACACCTAACCCTTGAACTTCTAGCTCTAGACATTGTTTAAAGCTATCATGTAATGACAATGTGGTACAAAAAAACAGTGGTTTCTATCTTTCTACTTCTCTGACATTATCCTTCTCTCTCTCTCTTTCTTGATGGCCACGCCATAACCAGTTCCACCCCCCTCTCTCTCTGGGCGTCTCTCCACCCCTCTCTCTACATTTAACCACTCAGGCTTGTCAGGCATACCTGTTTTTTTTTTCATTTTCATCTTTTCATTTTCATATTTGCCGGGGCTCGAAGATGTTATGTGAGCCCCGGCTACACCCCCATATAGCCCCTGATGGGGCACTTTAGGGGGGGGGGGGAGGCTTGGTCTAAGGCGGGCAGGCCTCCAGCCTGGCCCGGAAGGACTCAACGGTGGGAGCCATAACTACCGGGCCAGGCAAGGCGTTCCATTGGGGGATTGTGCGAGGGAAGAAGGAATATTTGTAGGCGTCTGTTCGTGCATGTATAGGTTGATATTTATACTGGTGGCTCCCCCGGGTACGCCCTTAGAGATTGTTTTGTAGATGATTATTCTAGCTCATGAACTACTCATACTGAACCTACGTCTTTGTTCGTTCCAGTCTCCCCTCCGCCTGGAGAACAACAACGGGAACCAGGTGAGGGGCGGCGTGTGGCTGAAGGTGGAGGCTCGCACCAACGTTCCACGGCACCGGATGTCGTCAGCCTAACCAGTTTAGTGGGGCAGATAACTGAAATAATCTTTCAGATTGTGATACAAGCACCAAACTTAGTACAAAGACTCATGAAACATTACTCTTTTGCAAATTGTGCACCGGCAAAAACGCCTCTGCAGTTCCAACGCAAGCTGCTAGAGTCAACAAATTAACGTCGCTTCTTTCTTTTTACCACATACCAACAGCTTTTTACCACATAAAAATCTGTAGCATGTTTAGAACAGGAGATACAACGCCCGAAAGGTCGGTTGCAGTACCAAGAAGCGCCGCTAGGGGACGCCAAAAGTCAAATCAAGTGGCCCGCGTACTTTTTTCAAAAGAGTAATGTCTCATGAGTACTTGTACTAAGTTTGGTGCTTGTATCGCAATTTGAAAGATTCCTCCAAAATTTGATGTTATCTGCTCCATTAGTTGGTGACTTACACTCTCTAACACAAATTTGATTTGCTTGACCCTCGCTTTCATAATTGGAATATAAGTTCGTATGCAGAATGTGGGACTATTATGCACTGGCTAAAGAAGAAATCAAACCACATAATACCAAGCGTAGTAGTAGAAGCATAGGTTTTCCAGACAGGAGTTGTCTGTTATTGTATTGTACGGTATAGCATATTTAACTCTGTAAAAGCAATTACCCTTCGGACATGATTTTGCAAATAAAGACAGTTATTATTATGATACCCAATATAACAATAATAAATATCTATAAAACTTGTTGAGCAATATGTCAAATCTTTAGTTGCCTGGTCTTATGAATGTAATGATGTGGAATGTCGATGAAGTTTACACATTTGATTATGAGATACACAATAAAACTGTTATTCAAGATTTTGAAAACTGTCAAACATTTCAAGTAGCATCCAGTACTTTTCGCCAGTGACCTATGGAAACTGTAGTTAAACAGGTATTTATCCAAGCACTTTGAATCGATATGTAGATTAGGTGAAGACAAGTTTTAGACAGTCCTTTGGAAATGTGAAATATCATTGTTTTATCGAAATAAACTCATATTGAGTCCTGTATTGTTTTGCTTTGTTCTTTGAGACATACGTTGGGTCTCTATTTCAACCTATTCCTGAAAGACGTATTAAGATTCTGTTTCATCTCATGTTTGATCTGAAATAAAATAAATACATAGATAGATGTAGATAGATGGCCTTTATTGTACATGTACATTCAAGACCGTTCGGCCTAAGCACAGACATACACATACAAAAACAGTAGATATTAAATGTATTGACAGGACTTTTTATACTCATTGAAAATTGTGGTTCTAGAACTAATACATAGTTTGGCAATCTCTAGGTGATGTAACTCAACGTAGTATCAAATAGTACATAGACAATATCATTTTAAAGGGTAGAAAGGGTAGCCATTAGATTTCAAAGGAAAATTGCTTAGTGCAACCGCTTCCGCAAGGAATTATAAAGACTTCCGGCCCCTTGTAGCAGCATTGCGGGCCTCCACCCTCAGCCAGACGCCCCCCTCGACGTGGTTCCCGTCGTTGTTCGCCAGACGAAGGGGAGCCTAGAAAGAAACAACCTCCTTGTATTATTAGTGGAGCAGATAACATCAAATTTTGGAGGAATCTTTAAAATTGTGATACAAGCAACAAACTTCGTACAAATACTCATGAGACATTACTCTTTTTAAAAAGTGCGCGGGCCACTTGATTTGACTTTTGGCGTCCCTTAGCGGCGCTTTTTGGTACTGCAACCGACCTTTAAACCCATTAAAACTTTAAACCCATTTCAGACTGAAGGGGCTTTAAATTTTGAGGCCCAACTTTGATCTCATATGACGTCATAATTACACCAAAGTTATTAAAATTTAATTCTATTACTACACCATTCCCTGAAAACTTGGTAGACATACGATGAGTGCATAAAAACATATAAACACGGAAATAAGGTAATGTATAAGAACGCCAGTGTATCCATTACGATCGAAAGCCGGCTGGGGTCCGCGCGGACCCCAAAAGAAAATCAGATATAATTTTTTATACATGGCCTTCTGGTAAGTCCGGTTGCCCCAACCCTATTCCTACCTTAAGGCGGTCCTTAAAACTTCAAATACGTTTAAATCCCGAACCATACATGATAAATGGAAAGTGTTTGCTGATCTTTAACGTGGACAAATGGTGTGAGGCAGATGTTTTGTACGCGTACGATTTCGTGCCACGAACAAGCTTTCTGTTTATGTGCAGGTACGAATTCCTGTTATACTATAATACATTTATGATAAATGTTATTTAGTTAATACACACACCATCATTTGATAAGGGTGACGGTATTAGTTGAACC